GAATTTGACATATTTAATGAATTTGATATTTCATTTAATATAATTAAGAGAAATTGTTAAGGTCTATTTCGTCTTTTCTTAAGCACTCAATCATTATTTGACATGGGTAAATGATATTTTAAATACAGGTGCAATTCTATTAGTTGCTATTAACATTAAACATGTCGATTAATATATAATTTGAGTACTTCTAATAGATTGTGCCTAAATAAGAATTTAATCCATAGTTAAACTTAAATGATCCGTCGATAAATGTAAGGGTAAAATCTTCTTACTCTTATCAAAATTAAGAGTAGTTTTTGCACGAGCACACCTTTCTTAGCAACAAATCAAAAACTCAATATAACCTTAAAATACCTTCAGCAGGGTCTTTTGTTGTCTTTTTTATTGTTATTTTAATGTATCTTGATTTTTTGATTAGTTTTTTTTGGTAGTTTATTTTCTGATTAGTTATGCCTAATAGATACTGTGTTTGTGTAAGAAAATCCCAAAATTAAACTCATTAACAAAAATAAAAATAATTTTTTTTATAAAGTATAAATTAAAGTTGAACCATACAAGGGAATGTTAGGGTTATTTAGTTTTAATTTATAAACATTATTCCAGACTGATCATATATCTTTTTGGAATAATTTTGTCAAAAATCATTCTTTTCTTATTAAGTTGTTTCCATTATATATTCGCAAGTAAATTCAACACGCCTTATTTTAAAAATAGTTAAAGAGAATTGAAAGTATGCTATTTAGAGTGTTAAGAACTCCAATCATAAAATTTGTGATGCACATCATATTCATAAAAGTTCATATTTATATAACATGATCTTTTTTTTATTGATGTATCTAAATATGTTAAATTAACGTTAAATATACTTTAAAAAATTTCAAAGTGTCATCACTTTCATATATCTAGTAATATTTATATTTCTTAATATTTCTTCATGGATTTGCTACACACTCACACATGCTTGCTTTTTTTATTAACAATAATTAAGGAGATAGAGACGCTCTAACTTGGAGAAAGGGACTTCACTTAAATTTGGATGCTGATGGAATTAAAGATACTTTAGTATGCTGGGTGGATCGTCCACTAATTACATAATTAGTAGAATCTTCTCTTAAATAATCTCTGATTAGTGTATATTAATCCTCTGGATCTATTTGTCGATGACGATGCACACACCGGACCCATAATTTAAGAAGCTTTATCTCTGATTAGTGTATATTAACCCTTTGGGCTTGCAATTGTAATCAGGTGGCTGACATGTTAATTAGCTAATTATGTAAAAATTTCAGGAGAATTACCTCAATGTGTCAATGGTGGAGCCAAAAATTAGTTAGGGTGAGTGTTCGCCCAATACAAAGTGTTCCTAATCTTGATTCTAGAACAATTAATATATACACAAATTGGATCCGCTTATATTACACGATTTAGTCGTCTGTAAATAAATTATGGTGATATCCATTTGCTGGAAATTCAAGTGTGGATAGAGAAATTTTATATTGGTTAGACATGAACTAAGTAGTAATAACTATATAAGTGAAAAAAATCTATAAATTTAGCATTTTAAGATTTTAGATTGAGATGTCAAATAAGGGGTGATACGGGTTAACACAACATAACATGAATCACTAAACACGAACACGACCTAACCCAACACAACACGAATAATATGTAAGAAGATTAATGCGGATCAATTTTGTATTTATGGGTTGGCACGTAACATGTACCACGACACAAATTTATTCATGTCAGTATTTACTAATACGAGAACAAAATAAATTTGAAAACGGTTCAACTCTAATATAAATTTTTCATATTATGTCAATGTGAAAATTATCAGTTTTCACCCCTAGTGTTAAGGCAGCTTCAACACAATTTATATTCAAATTTGGCTCAAAAAATTATAGTAATTAATTATTTATTAAAAATATGTCACTATTTTAAGGGACAGTTATATTTACTACTATTTTAATCTTACTATTCTTATTACTTGATTAGTTACCGTTTGATTAATTTAAAATGAACGGTTGGAAAATGAGAAAAATTAACTACCATTGACTTCAAAATTCAAATTCATCCAACGGTAACCAATTAAGTAACAAGAATAATAAGGTTAAAATAATAGTAATTATAATATTTTTCTTATTTTATTATGTAAATTAAGTTTTTTTTAAAATTTCTCAATCTTTGGTGCGACTGTTCACACGAGAACACATCTAATAGCCGGCATCAATAAAAATGAGCCAGGTGGAGCTTCTGGACCCATAATTTAAGCTGTTACCGTTACTTGACCAAGGCAATAATAATATAAAAAATGTTATTCCTACAATAATAGTAACTTGCCAATGTGCAAAATATGTGTCAGGGATATCAGACCTGCCATTATACCAAAGATGGTAACTTTTTTTTTTCTTTTTTTAAGAAAGAAAAATGAAAATAAAGACAGCTCTCAGGACCCACTTTCGAAAAATTTCTTTGGCGTGGTTAAGAGGTTTCTTTCATTCCACATATGAGCACATATAAAATGTCTCATTTTATGAAATTACAGATATATATGTAATTTAAGCATCATAGAATCAAGATTTTTTTTGGTATAATATGGAGATATACTCGTTCAACTTATTTCGGTCACCTTGTTCTTGAAGTATGGCGGCTATCCTCTCATGAGAACAGTGGGTGCATTGAACTTCGTCATCGAAAAAAGAATAAGATTAATCTCACATTCGAAGAGAGAGATATGTTCTCGGACCCCCAATTAAAGATTTTTCAAGAATTTATTTGAGACAGGATTTAAACTCCTGACTCAAGCAAACTCTTGAAACTCAGTTGCCAACTGAGTTACCTTGGGAGTTTAGAATCACGATTTATGGTATAGAAATCCTATTTCAAATTGCTATGTTTTGGAAAAAATCTAATATATTATCATATTACCTATATCCCACCAAAAGGAATATAACACCGGTCCTGATATATTTCCTAGAAAAGAATTTTTTTTTTTTTAATATTATGCTTATGTATTCCATATATATATATATATATAGTGTATAGTTTCATTTTAAATAAGATTCGTACGTACTCACTACTCAATACGTCGGTAGTATTGAAAATATTCTCATCGTTTCGAGGATTCCACCAACAAGTACGTAGGATAAGGAAATCTTGGCTTCTGCAGGACATGTAGATATGGGCTAGTGGTTCATACTTAATATATGTGAGTGAAGAACAATATGGGAATAGTGACCCCTACACGCATACGTCTTCAATAGAACAAAACAGCCACACACACTTCCATCAGTACTTGGCCTTAGCCAAATGGACAGATTGGTATACAGCAAGGCTCAGCACATTGTTTGAACGCCTTCATAAATTCTCTGCTACTAGAAAGCTGTACACAATTCACCTTTCAACGCTGGCAAACTCATGCCATTGTCTTTGCAAACCCTCCCTCTTAATTTCCCCATACATATTTCAATTCTAACTAGTCATTTATGTAATCCTAATAATTAATTTCAGCAACACAAAGATAATGGACGAAGCTACTTCAATATATAAATTAAATTGCTTTTTGAGTTCTTCACAGAAAGTTTTAGTCTCTCAACTTCAATTCTTTCAACACAAATTAATTAACATGCGATATGGATCGACCTCTACTGTTTGATTTTCCGGTTAAAATATATCATTGATGAGTTTAATTTTTTATTTTTTTAAAGGAGATCATCCAAAGAAGAATTTTCGATTCATCTAATATATGAATGAACTATATATGTCTATGTTTGATTGACAAGCACAGGTGTCTTTGTCCTTTGTCAGTTTCTCAAATGCGCACATGTTAGTGCCCCATTGTGGGCTTGTCCTTTCTAGTTCTTTACTTTGATATGTTGTTTGTGGAGGCTCCTCATGCCTGCTTGAGCATGTATTACTCATGGCTTCATTGAAGAATTAATCCAGACCTTTCACATCAAACATGTCTATGGTGTATTCTTATTCTTCCCAAGCTATTCTCCGGCCCAATAAAGAATATTTCATGATCCTAATTATGCAGAGAAACCGGACACCTTTTTTTTTGTTTCTTCTCTTTATCTTTCAATTTTGCTGTTCCTCCTATATTTGAAAAGTCATGCTGTGAAAACTAAAAACTATATGCCAGGTTCTATTCAGAGGACATGTACAATGGAAAGTTTTATGTGCCATCGTTTCTTTTCCTGTTACACACAAATTGCATTAGGGTAGCTTTGAGAGCTAGTTGAAGAGCATCTGATGTTCAAATTTTAAAAAGTTATGATTGTCCTTGATTTGGAAAAAAAATTGTATGTGTATCGAATGTACCCAATTAGGTATATATTTTTTTCAAAAAACAAAAAATTAATGTTGCAGAATTTTTTTTTTCAAAAAAAATAAAAAATTTACCAAAAGTAAAAAATTGAAATACCTATTGAGTACTCTTGTAGTACCAAAATTTTACTCCTTGATTTGATCCAAGGAGTGAAGATAAAGGTCCACGTTCATATATATAAGAGAGTGGGGTAATAGTCTTATAATTATTAGAATCGTACAAGAGTTGTTGTCACAGTTGGAAGGGCCTCCTCAGCAATCTGCCTTTTGAGCATCAGATTGGACCCACTGTATATTAAAATTAGCGGCTATCTCTGCCCTAAATAGTTTAATCGAAGTATTCGGCCAAAAAGCAAGTCTCTCTTATCATACTTAATTTTGGTGAAGATCATTTTACATTATCGGTGTAAATATATATGTTTGTTAAAACTCAATTCTAATTTTTTAGTCATGTGGATAAAAATAAGTACAAGACTTATTATAATATTCGTATAAGAATAATCTACTCTATATAGAGCTAGCTGAGCTTATTCTTTTATCCAATTTTTTTTTTTTTTTGGAAGAAGACCTTTCTATGGATAGGTGAGCCATCAATTCTTAGGGTTGTACGGCTAGTGTGAGGACAAGCATTCCCTCATTAAGTTCCCATTTTAAGTTTTGTCCGGTTCTGAATCAGAGGGACGGTATATTTTACTAATTATTATACCTCCAAAAGAAACAGATGATCTTTTTTTGTGTAAACAGATGATCATAATATTACTTATTTTACTTATTATAATTCCCCGTGATTATTTATGGTCTTATTTTCCAGCTAGTGCTTTACACCTAACAGCCATTTATAAATCTACATGCTAGGGTTAGGGTTGTTCACCAAACACAGACTGCGTCTATATACACTGCTAGCGCTATATCTACAGTTATCATCATCTACAGTTACCTATATCCGAAATCCTGGGTTTGTTGTGGATGAAATGAAGAACTGAACTGAACCTAAATTTAGTGCCATAGGGTTCTGCAAACATGAAAAAGAAGCAGGTGGTGGTTGTGAAAAGAGATGGTTGCAACACTTCATCTTCAGCGTTGAGAAATATTAGATATGGGGAGTGCCAGAAGAATCATGCAGCTAACAGTGGAGGTTATGCTGTGGATGGATGCAGAGAGTTCATGGCTAGCGCAGAGGAGGGAACAAGTGGTGCGCTTATGTGTGCGGCTTGTGGTTGCCACAGGAACTTTCACAAAAGGGAAGTGCAGATTGCAAACTGAGGTACCCTCAACCTAGCTCTGATCGTAATTGGTTCCTAAAATGAAAAAGAAAAAAAAAAGAAACACGAGAAATATTATATATATTGCAGAATTTGTGTATTGAATTTACTGATTGAACTTTTCTTCCCATCTTTCTTCCTTTGGGTTCTTGCAAGCTTTGATTGCCAATAGAGAGACATTGATTCTGGTAGATCAAAATTTTAATGTTCCGGATTTCTGTTCTTCGAATATTGTTCAAATTGTTCTCTTTTCTTATTCTCATAATTCCATTCTCTTTTCTCCTCTTTCTTCTTTGTAAACGAAATGAGCTGTACGGATTCGAACTTGGTTGTAATGAGCTTTTGATTCTGATTTAAAACTTTGGGTTAATTGTTTGTGATGTTAAAAGATAACTTTATTTCCGTACGTGAAAAAACGTGAGACTCATATTTTCTTTTGCTCTCTTTTATCTTCATACAAGTCATAAGAGCCCATATATTTTTATGTACGTGAGATTGAGCTAAACCGATTAGGCTCCTTTATCATTTTGTAACCATTTTGACATTCACCCAATAGCAAGGGTGGATCTCAGACAATAAATTAGGAGGAACTAAGGGTACATATATAATCCAAGGATTAATTAATTAATCGTATGAGTAACTCGATCATGAGTCGGAAACTACGTATTGCTTTTTAGTTGATTATTGATATAATATTACAATCTTTATAATCAAGTGATTGATAATTTAACACCATCCATAATTTTTTTTAAATAAAGTTAAATTTCAATAATAATAAAAACAAACTTATACATTAGCCACACACTTCGTGCTCAAAGGACCCATCGCTTTTGGAAAACTTGAGTTTCTAACTAAAAGAAGTGGTGCGTCAAGCTTTTCATTACATATGACTTTGTGTAAATCTTAAGTAAACTTTCCGATTTTAATTTTAATTGTACAGCTTATATATTTTGAGTTGGGAAGAGGTACAAAAGCTTTCTTCTATTGGTTGCTTTATTGTACTTAATGAGTGAACTGTCGAATTTTTTAGTTGTCTGATTGATGAATTATGTACCATACCTTATATGTACTGTCAAATTCGGTCAATCTTGACATAGAATGACCGAAGAACTTCTACTGATCATGTAAACTGTTTCTGTCTATAGCTAGTTTGCCCATTTACGAATCCTGGTATAGCTCTCGATATAGACAAGAGTCTAATTGATCACGCATCGATAGTATACAAAAATGTATACTAATATTTATTAATATTTTAACTCATTATTTAGGATTTATTGCTGCAAGGAGCTTATTAATTAGCTGGTCTAACCATTTTAAGTATAACTCTTTATGTTCAATTCTTTCCATGCTTCTTACCCCGTTCCCGAGAGAGACAGCTAGTTAGATTAATTTGGCAGTTAAGAGGCATAGAAAATTGAGGAAAGAATGTTGAAAGACTTCTCTATCCCGACAGAGTTTAAAATGTTTATGGAACGTCAATTAATACATCATTTTAGCTTATTAATTAGTGGTAAGATTGATCTTTTGGAAAGCTCTAAGTCGTGATTTCAGAATTTTAAAAGCTCTAATTAGATTGACCATGTCATGTATTTTTTCACATCCATTTCCATTATAGATTCTGCTGAGAAAGCTAAAAGATTTGTTTCTACATACTCTTTGTTCCCATGTTCTTATAACAAGAAAACAGTTTATAAGGTTATACTTTACGAAGGTAAGTAATTACATTTGCAATATTAATTATAACTCTTTAAGGCCCAGTTATATCCAATCATGTGCCATGCGTGTGTGTGTGTGTATAAGTTGACTAAAGGTTAATCTACAGATTAAGATTTTATGTTCTTGTGGAGATTTGACCATCTTCTTTGTGGGTGGTGAGTGAAATTGATCATAAAACGTTAGGAAATTATTACAATAAAGATGGAAAACCAAAAAAAGCAAAAACCGTTTATATCTTTAATAAATTTGAAGTGGCAGCTGCACTTTCTATCTTTTGCTTGTGATGTATGGGCTGTTCAGTTGTTTATTGTGTTGGTAATGAAAGGAGGATATATATGCTTCTTGTCTTGAATAAGCCTAATTTATCACCTTGTTTAAACTGGCACTCTCTCGGTCTCTCTGCCCCCAAGGTCCGTAGATTTTGTTGTTCAACTATCTGACTTGCAATCAGCAGGGAAAATTAATAATAAGCAAAGAAGAAAATATATGGAATTGGTTAATAAGAACTGCAGGGAAAAATCATGTAAATATATAAATATTCTTAATAATTATCACTTCATGACTTCATGTCATAGAACTATCTAAAACTCATACAAAAATGTCAATTGATTGTTAGAAGTGATTCTTGTTATGGGCCCAACAATTTGTTCTGTGTTTGCAGAACTAACTACTTGGGATTTAACATCCCAAACCATTGGTATTTATGTATATGTATTGTATTAAGTGCGGGTAAGGTGGATAAAGAGATAAAGTTGCGTAATTAATGACTAATAATTATAATTTTTGACTTTGTGATAAATTCGATCCTAACAATTCTAACATTTTGTTGGGAAGTATCTCAAAAGCCAAAAAAATACATTGATTTATTGCATCAGGTTCACGAGTTCATGATATTATTATAGGCGGACATCAAATAACTATATACATGCATGTGGTTGTTGACTAAAAATTGACTAAAGGCCAATAAAAACCACTCAATGAGATGTAGGGTACTGCTTTATTCAATAAGGGGTTTATCAAACTCATCTTATTAAATTTTAACTTGTTTATCACTCGAGCTACACCTTTACGAATATAAAATATGGGTTTTATAATTCTCATGTTGAAGGAGAATTAAAATCTCATGTTGGAGAGATGAAAAGCATATGGAACCCATGTATTAGAAAAAAGTATATGTAAGACCCATGTCAGCACGGAAATCGAAGGGTGTGTAAGAAAGTTGTAATTCTCATGTTAAACGAGAATTATAAAACCCATAAAATATTTAGGAAGAGTACTTTGAAATGACCATAATATATATTATTTTTAAAATAATGCTTTGAAGCAGACAGTTAGATGGCATACATAACCAAACACTTTGTGACAGTACATGCTTCGCATGGGTATTGTAGGGACCTTCAAGTGTGTAGAAGAGTGAGGATAAAATCATGCAGTGAGCCCATAATTAGACATAGATGGATGCATGGTTGGCCTTAAAATATATGTCTATGCTCTGTCTGGGTTAGATAGGAGTGCGCGCATGTCCTGGTTTGCCTTCTCATTCTCAATTTCCGTTGTTTATATGGCGAATATTCTTCAATAATGTAACGTAATTGTAATGATTCAATTCAACTCAAAAGTTTAAATTATTGGGTAAAGTTAATTAATGATTTTATATATCTATAACATACTTTTTTACAAGAGAGTTTATTGGACTTTGAAAGGTGAATGATGTATCATGCATAGTCTATTTGTGCTAACAAATTTCATAAAAAAAAAAAGCAGACAAAGATTGAACTCAGGATATCGAGGCTCTGATATCATTTAAATTACCAATTCAATCTAAAAATTTAAAATATTGAATAAGATTATATTAATAATTTTATATATCTCTAGCACTGACAAAAAAAAACATATAAAACCCTTTGGTGGTGTCACTATCATGCTTTACCTTGCATCTCCACCATATTTTTTAAAATATATATTTACATTATAGAATAAAATGACAACCACAAGTGATTGGGTAGAGTCATAGCTGCTGCTTCTTCTTTTCTTTTTTTCACTTTACGTGAGGACTCTCAATCTGCCATTTAGTACAAATTAAGCAAATGTGAAAGAAGGTAAGCAAGAAGCTTTATCTATGGGAACTGGGATTTATATAGGACCTACATTGAAGATGTCTCTTTCAATACTTGCTCTGTATAATCCATTTTTGTTTGATTCCCCCACTCGGTTGCCGCTGTACGCAGATGCCGTTATGTTAATAAATAATAATGGGAAAAATTATTCTCATGTCACATGAGGTAAGTTTTCTTCCTACACACCCTTCGATAACCGTGCAATATTTTTCTTTTCTTTCTTTTTTATTTTTTAGATAGTGGACCCCACCACTATGTATCTACAACATAAAATTTCTTCTCTCATGCAACATGAGACTAAATAAGCCCAATAATAATACTAACAAATAGCCAAGTGGCACTCACTGCAGGGTTTTAAAATCCAATTAGTCTATAGCTAAAAATGGAGAGAAACTTCACTACGACGTAGTATGCTATTGGGTACTCATTTTTTTCAATTTTGGATAAATTATTTCCATTCTACTCATCTTTTTTATTTTTATTCCCGTGTAAGTTTCCAAAAACTTTCTTTTCTTGGACAGATGTACCGTACATCGGATGTATGGAAGATTTTTCCCTATAAATGGCAAACTTAACCAAATTAATAATAGTAGTTTAGATTGTATGTGAGAGCAGAGCAGGTGGAGTGAGAATATATGTTCGATTCTCCTCAGCATTATCTTTGGAAGAAATTTAAAGTATTAATCCTGAATTCACCTCAAACAAAATTGACTCATATAAAAAAATACTCCTGGTTTATAAAAAAAAATGGCAAACTTACATAAATAACTCATGCCATGCAGAAGCACTGCAGCACCGATAAAAAATCATTTCATACAAAAAAAAAAGTGAGTTGTTTAATCAGGTTATATTAATAGTTTTCTGGGTAATATTTTTCTCCTTTCACATACAATTAATTTTCCTACACACACACATAAAAGTGGGCCCATCAATTCTTTTATTTTTTTATTTTAAAAATAGTGGTCTTCACAATTGATTGTTTCTATGACATGATCTAAAAATTTTCCTACAACATAATACTTGTTTTTTGTATATATATTATATTTCTACAAATATGTTTTCTAGTATAAGAAAGAGTCTATTAGACTTAAAGAATGGACAATACATAAAGTTCTTATTACTTATATTAAGAAACTCTTTAATATTTAATTATTTATATCGCATAAGTCGTTTTGCTTTAAAAGTAAAATTACATTAATAATTTTATATTATTTCCTCTCACGGCTGATATTATGATTAGGTGCCTCTTAAGCCTTAACAATATTGATTTCTTTCTTCCCAAACACAGGATATTCAGAAAATGATGATTCATATGATTGGTTGGAAAGATCTCATGAGGAAACAAATACTTTGTCGCTTACCAAACCAAACTATTTAAGGCAATAGTGTTTCACACGGACACAGTTATTAACAGATTGACGGAATTTTCATGATAATTGTTTCGTATACAGCTCACCTTATTTTTGCGTGGTGTATGTACGGTAATGTTTCTATGTATGTAG